TCTCACCTCCTTCAAACCATATCCCATATCCCTGACAAGTTATCTCTAAAAATATCTGATGGTATTTACCAAATCAAAATTTGATTTTACTGTCCATTCTCAAAGAATAAAAATTAAAATTCTGAAGTATAACTGGTCACAAATGTAGATCCCCTTGTTGAACCTCTAGCTACTCGGCACAATGACCCAACTCAGAGGTATAAAATATTATTTTCCTCAGAGGTAAATCAGTGGGGAAGGAGAAGGTTAACTAGGCAGAGTATCAGAATTTTGTCCTTTCTTCAACCAGAACAGAAATGAAATTTCATTTGAAAAAGATATAAAAGGAGACAGTTGAGAAAGAAAAGTAAAAATAACTGTTTAAGAATATTAAAAGATGTCTAACATTACTCATAATGCAAATTTTAACAAGGTAAGATTTTTAGCCAATTACAGTTGCAAAGATTAAAATAAAAAAGATCACAATATGCCATGTGGGAAGATCAGGCAAAGTGTCACTCTCATACACCACAGAAATGGGTATAGATGACTAAAAGCCTTTTTAGGGGGAAATTTAGCAACGTCAATCAAAATTTAAAACGCATATACTTCCTGACCCAGATATTTCACTTCTAAGGATTCATCCCACAAATGACATCCACTGCAACCCTGTTTCTGAGAGGAAGATATCAGAACCAACCTAAGGGTTCACCAAAGGGAACTTAGTTAAAGAAACTTTTTTATCAAGACAATGGACTATATACCCACTCGATGCAATGCTATGTAGCCACTCAACAGAATAATATAAAGGATGTGCTAACATTGCATGATCTTTAAAATATATTGCTAAGTAGAATATGCCACATTTGCAATTTTAAGCATTTTCCCTGTCAAAAGGAATACACACACACAACGCACGCCTATTTGTGCATGAAAAAATATCTCTGAAAACACATACAAATTGTTAATAGTATTTGCCTAAGGGAAGGAGGACTTGAGCTCCTGGGTTGGAGGACAGACTTATTTTTTGCCATATATTATTTCATTCTGTAATTTTTAACATGAGTATATATTACTTTTTCAAAAGAATATTTCACAACTTTTAAAAATAGATGGAGAGAAGGTATTTCATTTCACTACCACCCTCTCAAAAGAAAAACTTGAAAACTTCCATTCTAATCATCTTATTCTTTCTTTCCTAAGCAGGTCTTGCACTTTAATAATGCAAAGGCTTACTCATGCCATTCACTTGGGATATGATGTCTTTCTTCAGCCCACCGTCTTTGTTTCATTTAAGCCACACTTACCCTTCAAGGCCTGCAAGGCTCAAAACTCACGCAGCAAGTCACCAAAGAATCAGAATTTAATAAATCTACTTCAAAGTCCACAATATGTTCATTACATCACGTTGCCTCCCTAAAACCAAAGCCAAGATGCCATCTAATTCATCCTGTTCCCAGCACCAAGCACACTGCATGCACTCAACAAATGTTTTCTGAAAGAATGAATGCATGTGAGTGGGAAGGAGAGCCCCTTAAAACTTGAATGAACAACCTCATTTCTACACTAGATATCAAGGAACATAGAGGCTTAAGACAAAAGGGTCACATGATCACTTTTAGACAATGTGGAGAAGAAGAGTATAAAAGTATAAATTATAACTATGGATGAGGATGAAACTAGACTTTTCTACCTTTGAGATAATACATTAAAGTTGTGAAAAAAGAACAGTGATGCCTTCTACAAAAAAACTTAACTGTTGCATGTAAGTAAAGTCTTCTACTAGACTTTATTAGTTCTAGGTCTTATATGGCTTTGTTTTCTCCTTCAATGTCCAGCACGGTGCTTTCTAAGGATACAGGAACAGAAACAGTATCTTTATTCTTAGTAACAGCAACACTTTGGCAGCTCATGAGAAGTATTTAATGTTTACAGAAGGAAAGGAGGAAGTGAGATGAGATTAGAGAATGTTTGATGAAAGAATAATACATTTAGCAAAGCTGAATTTAGTCACCTTGTTCTAAAATGTTTAACTAGCCTCTAAAGGATTTAGTTACAATAGGTTGAGTACCCCTTATCCAAAATACTTGGGACCAAAAGTGTTTCAGATTTTGATTTTTTTCATATTTTGGAATATTTGCATATACGTAATGAGATACCACGGGGACGGGATCCAACTCTAAACATGAAATTCATTTATTTCCTACACACCTTATACACATAGCCTGAAAGTAATTTTACACAATATTTTAAATAAGTTTGTGATTCAAACAAAAGTTTTGACTGCAACCCATCACATGTGGTCAAGTGTGGAATTTTCCATTTGTGGTGTCATGTTGGAACTTGAAAAGTTTTAGATTTTGGAGCATTTCGGATTTCAAATTTTCAGATTAGGGATGCTCTCAACCTGTACCACCTCACACACATTCTATGGCGGGAACCATCTGGATTTCCTTTTTTTTTTTTTTTTTTGGAGACAGGATCTTGCTTTGTCGCCCCCGGTAGAGTACAGTGATGTCATCATAGCTCACTGCAATCTCCAACTCCTGGGCTCAAGCGATCCTCCTGCCTCAGCCTCCTGAGTAGCTGGGACTACAGGCATGTGCCACCATGCCTGGCTAATTTTTTCTATTTTTTGTAGAGATGGAGTCTCACTGTTGCTCAGGCTGGTCTCAAACTCCTGAGCTCAAGCAATCCTTCTGCCTCAGCTTCTCAGAGTACTAGGATTACGGGCACGAGTGAGTCTAGCCTCTGGATTTCTCTTTTAGCCAGCCTTAAAAGTCATAAAAAGCTATAAAATATGGAACGTACTATTACAAAGACAGAATAATATTTAATTATATATTATCTTACATCCTAAAATGAAATAACTTATTAAAAAATATCCCCAACTTAAACTGAGAAGTATTTGACTCCTAATTTCAAAACAAAAATGACTTAAATTACTAGCAATTGACTTTTAACCTGGTATGAGAAAAATATATAAAACTCAGAAACTCTTTTCAGAAATTTGATTTTATTTTTTTCAATCTATGGTTAGGTGGAAAACTAGTATCTTTGACTGCAGTAAAGCCGTATAATTGAAGTAGGGGTACATGAGAAAATCTTAAGAAAAAAATGGTGCTTTTTATAAGAAATTACTTTATTAAGATAGATGGTAAGCTATTAGGACAGTTAAGATTAGAAAATTATTTCAATTAATAAAATGTGGTCTATGTATACCATATAGTACTACTCAGCCATAAAAAACAATAGTGAATTAATATCTCTTGTATTAACCTGAATGGAACTAGTGACCATTATTCTAAATGAAGTATCACAAGAATGGAAAAACAAACACCACACGTACTCACCATTAAATTGGAATTAATTGATCAACACTTACGTGTACATAGGAAATAACATTCATTGGAAATCAAGCAGGTAGGAGGCAGGAGGAGGGGACACGTAAATTCACATCTATTGGGTACAAGGTATGCGGTCTGGGTGATGGCACACTTATAACTTTGACTCAAATGGTACAAAAGCAGTTCATGTAGCCAAAATGTTTGTACCCCCATGATATTCTGACATAAAATTTAAAAAAAAATCCAATGTGCCTCCAAGTCAATGAATGTTTGCATATCAAAAAAAAAAAAAGAAAATTATTTCAAAACTTTCCAATTTTAACTTTCTCTTTATTGGTGGTATCTAGATAAACTAATGGAAGCTAATTTCTTATTTTTGCTTCTTATTATAAGAGGTTTGCAGCTGTCAAAACTTTTCCCTGACTTTCTACATTCCGAGAATCCTCACAAAATAATGAAACCTTTCCATACAAATATCTACCCAAGAAAACCCCCCAAAACCCTAAGAAGTTTCCAGAAAAAATCTCCCTAAGGTGGGATAATACTAAAAGTAAGAATCTATCATTTAAGCAACATACCAACTACTATAATACATAACTACAAAATATCAAAAGACATAAGCAGAGATGGGGATTTATGACCAATGCCTGGGATTAATGTGCTCTAGAAACTACATATTTCAATATTAAACAATTTCCTGCGCTAGTATAATTTACTTAAAATTAACCAATTTACTGTTGTTCAATTATTAAGCATTTACATCTTAAAATCCAGAGTTCTACCTTATCATTTTTTAAAATCTATTGTTAAAGAATTACTTGCTAAGAGAAAACCTTCATGTATCTGTACTGTGTTTCTATAACAATTTCTCCTTTTATAAAAGGAAAAAAACTGAACCTGATTTCTAGTTAAAAATTCTAAAAATATTTATTTTCTTTTAGCAGGCATATGTATGCCTAGAAATAATTATATAAAACATTTAAATGCTATATTATCTAAAGTATCCATGGAATGTTTTATTTAGTAAAAAAGTCTGAGGAAGCTATTATGCCTATATAATAAACTAAAATTTTCTCAACATTTAAAAAAACTACTACTATTATATAGGTATCTTTAGAACAAATATGTTGTCCAATAAACTAGTATTTGTTCAAACTCAGAGTAAATTAAAGGTGTGTGTATACACACACACACACACACACAAAGGTGTCTGTATACACACATATATATTCTTCTTATTCACATGTCAGGCAGAAAAAAAGCAAAAACAAAACAAAATAACCTTCATTAATTCCTAAGTAATTATCAAAATGACTTCTTTCATTTTTCATTATGACAACTAAAATTAACTACACAAACTAGACAAGTTAGTATTTCATAAATTTCAAAATATCACAAAACACTGAGCTCTCCTGGGCTTTCATGTAAGCACACAGTCTACCTTTCCAAATTTTAACTAGCTTCTTTTCTAGTAAGATATTTTCTAAAAGTGAATTTTATTAGACAGCTGTAAATCTATTTAAAATAAAATGTGACCCATCATGAACTATTTAAAATAAAAAAAATAAAACCTGGTTCCTCATGTATCTTTCCATTATTTCCTCTATGAATTATTAATAATTTCATCTTTTAAATTAAACTCTAGATCATATTCAAGACCATCTGCAAACTTACAGTGTTAGTTGGATCTTCTTGTAAAATTCGATCATATAGCTGTATAGCATCATCATATCTATTTTCAAAAAAAAGAAACATCATGAATCATTACCTTAAAAATATAATGATAAATAGTCAATACAGAGAAAGATTAAAGACTAAAATGGCAGGGCTTTTTAAATATGCATTTATAATAGCTATCCAAATCTTCTCATCTTCACTTAACAGCCAAAGTTTACTACAGTCATACTTTTTTAAGGAAAACAAGTTATGTATAAAGTACTTACAGAGAAACTATTTCAAAAATATGCTGATTCAATTTGGCCAAAATATGAAGTAAAAACTAGCCACACAGGTTGAAGAGACAGAACAAGCAAGCATCAGAAGCAGACTCAGATATGGCAGAAATGTTGGCATTAACAGACCATGGCAGAAATGTTGGCCATTAACAGACCAGGAATTTAAACAACTATGTGTATGTTTATGGCTCTAATGGAAAAAGTGAACAAGAAAAATGGGTAACGTAAACAGAGATGGAAACTCAGAAAAAGAATCAAAAGAAAATGCTAGAAATCAAAAACAATATAATGGAAATGAAGAATGCCTTTGAAGGGCTTATCAATAAACTAGACATGACCCAAAGAAGAACCAGTGAGCTTGAAGAAATATCAAAAAAATCTTAAAAACCTGAAATGCAAAGAGAAAAGACAGTACAATAATAGAACAAAATATCTAAGACCTGTGTCAATTAAAAAAATGTAGCATATATGTAATGGGAATATCAGAAGGAAAAGAAAGAGAGAAAGGAACATAAGAAATGTTTTAAATAATAAGGGTTGAGAAGTTTCCAAATTTATGACATAAAACTACAGATCCAGGAAGCTCTAAGAATATCAAGCAGGATAAATACCAAAAAAAATCTACACCTACATATAGTACATTCAGACTCTAGAAAATCCAACACAGAAAATCTTGAAAGAAGGCAGAGAAAAAAAACACCTTATTTATATAGGCTCAAGGATAAGAATTATATCAGACTTCCCTTCAGAAACTACACAAGTAAGAAAACAGTGGAACGAACTATTTAAAGTGTTCTAAGAGAAACCACCATCCTAGAATTCTGTACCCTAAGAAATTGTCCATCAAAAGTGAGCGAGAAATATGAACTCCCTGACAAAGAAAAAAACTCAAGAAATTTGCTGACAGTAGACCTGCAAGAAATGCTAAAAGCTGCTCTTCGGAGAAAAAGAAAATTATATTGGTCAGAAACTTTGATCTATATAAAGAAAGGAAGAGTAGTAGAAAATGAATAAATGAAGGTAAAATAGAATCTTTTATTTTTCTTATTCTTTTTTTTTTTTTTGAGACAGAGTCTCACTCTGTTGCCCTGGATAGAGTGAGTGCCGTGGCGTTAGCCTAGCTCACAGCAACCTCAAACTCCTGGGCTCAAGCAACCCGCCTGCCTCAGCCTCCCGAGTAGCTGGGACTACAGGCATGTGCCACCATGCCCGGCTAATTTTTTATATATATTTTTAGTTGTCCAGATCATTTCTTTCTATTTTTAGTAGAGGCGGGGTCTCGCTCTTGCTCAGGCTGGTCTCGAACTCCTGAGCTCAAACAATCCGCCTGCCTCGGCCTCCCAGAGTATTTTTCTTATTCTTAATTGATCAGATAACAGTTTGCCCAAAACAATAATAGCAACAGCGTATTCAGGGATTATAGTTTATCGATAAGTGAAATGAATAAAGGCAATGTTGTAAGTGACAAAAGGGAGGAATTGAAAATACTCTTTTGTAAGGTATTTGTACTACCTGTGAAACAGTGTAGTGTTATTTGAAAGCGGAGTTGAATTAGTTATAAACGTATATTGCAAACAGAAGGACAACCATTAAAAAAATTTAAAAAGAAGTATAAAGTATAACTGATATACTGAGAGAGAAAAAATGAAATCACAGAAAATGCTCAATTAAACCAGGGAAGGAAGAAAAGAGCAACAACGAAAGATAGAAAGAAAAAAGAAAGAACACGAGCAATCAAAAGAAAATAGTTAAGAATATAGTAGATATTAAACCAACTATATCAATAATCACTTTAAATGTGAATGGTCTAAATACAACAATTAAAAGACAAAGATTATCAAAGTGGATTAAAAATCATGTCTGAATGTCTACATAAAACTCACTCTCATTATGAAGATACAACAGATTAAAAGTAAAGGGATAGAGAAAGATATGCTATAACATTAATCAAAAAACTGTGGTAGCTTTACTAATTTCAGAGAAAGCAAAATTCAAAGCAAGGAAAATTACCAGGGATAAATACTATAAAGGGGTCATTCTCAAGAAAACATAACAATCCTTAATACCTATGAGATTAACAGGATCAAAATACATGAGGTAAAAACTAATAGAACTGCAAGGAGAAACAGATGAATCCACTATTAGAGACTTCCACACTCCTTTATCAATCATTGACAGACACAATAGGCAGATAATCAGTAAAGACATAGTTGGATTGGACAGCACAATCAACCATGTAGAAGTACTGAAAATAAAATTTTAAAAGCAGATGGCAAACAGAAAAATGGTGTGAAAGCACTCTTACAAATCAAAAAGAAAAATAATTAACTTAAAATGGTCCTAGCTTCTAGAAAAAAATATGGAATATCACTGAGATGTTGTAGTGGGAAAAGAAGTCTTATACAAAAATCAATAACCATAAAGAAAGACTGATAAACTGAACTTCATCAAAATTAAAAACTTCTATGTTTCTAAAGGCACCATTTAAAAAATAAATACCCAAGGCAGAGAATAGGGGAAAATATTCACAGCACATATATCTGACAAAGCTCTTTTACCCAGAATATATAGAGAACTACAAATCAACATCAAAAAAAAGGTAAAACAACCCTATTTTAAAAATGGGCAAGGATAAAAAAGATACTTTAAAAAGAAGTTATTTAAATATTCAATCAGCCATGAAAAGGTTTTCAACCTCATTAGTCATCAAGAAATACAAATTAAAGCCACGAGATACTAGTTCACATGCACTAGAATGCTTAGAATCGAAAATGATTAACACCACGAAGATTAACAGCCTTCATGTTTGTCATTTCTAAATGGCATCACATTGTTCACAAGATGTGTTTACCTTTCCATGGCTTCAAATCTCATGCCCGTTAATCGCTTGACTCTGTGACTGCCAGGGAACTGTCTTCTTAACTCTTGAAGACAAAACTGAAAAAATAATGGGTAAAAAAGATTTGAAGAGTAGTAATTATATTATATACACTAAATGGACTATAAAGAATGACCTATTTAGTCTTCAATGTATCTTTTTGAATAATTTCATTAGCGTCACCTAATAACATGAAGTGAAATTAATCAGTAATGAATAATAGGGTAAAAGAAGAAATATGAAATTACAGTGAAGGCAACAATGAGTTCTTAGAAACTGACCATGCTCTTAACTAGGAAAATGCACAGATTGTGAGATCCACTAATAACTCTTCGAATACTATTATCATATTATTTCTCCTTAAAACTGCCTCCATAATGTGTCAGGCCCTACTTAAATGCCAAAATCAGCTTCCTGGTTTTTTTAATTAGAATATAAGTATTCTACCATAAGAATTAAGATTTTTGGTATTCATCTCAAGTCTCTTGTAAACAATATTAACATTGTTTAACTTTGCCCTGTTAAAATATTAATCAATCATTCTTTTAATCCACATATCCTGACTTAGAGTCAGAAAATACAGGCACCAAATCTACGGAGTACCAATTTCTTTGGACAGGTATCCGTAATTCACACATCAACTCGACTAAACAATCAGTTATTTATTGAGTACCTACATTCTCAGTAACATATAAGGGATTATGAGACATGGAAGCGCTAGAAATGTCAAAGATTATGCAAATGATCAAGTCAAGCACCCTAAAGCATGAGTAACCAAAAAGATGCCTTTAATTAGTGAAGAAACTATTTATTATTAATAAAATAAGTTTTAATATGATCTGAAAACACAGCTTTAAAGTCTATGGCTGAAAATCTGCCACACTAAGAAAAACATTCAAGTTAGTCAAAAGCAAA